GAAGGGAGGGGAAGGGGAAAGGAAAAGAGGGAAAGGAAAAACTATAAGAAAAGAAAAGAAAAAAAAAAGGAAATGAAATCTATGTAAATAGGCAAGGGTGGAGGGGGTGAAGGGTGCACAGGTAATGGGGAAAAAAAAATAAGAACCAAGATATATTATGTACAGGTACAAACACCTAATGATAAATGTAAACGAATTGTATAACTAAAATGTACCAATAAAAGAACTTAAAAAAATAAATAAATAAAATTTACTAGTGATTTTGGCAACTGAGATGATCCACTCATGCGGCAGGCCATTTTTTCCTTTCAGGAGCAGAATGAAGGTTAGAGACTTGACCACCACAGAAATAAGGTGCCAAGGTTGAAGCTAAGTTGTCCAAAGTCACATGCAATTAGCAGAAGACCAGAGAGTAACATTCAGGATGGCTGGCTCAAAAGACATACACAATATTTTTGTATTTAAATTATGCTTTTTTATAGCTGGGAATAACTTTGCGTTTTGAATAGTTGATCTTTTTTAAAATTTAGTTTTGAAATATGAACTTTCTGCAGGGTCAGATATATCTCAGTGGTTGAACCCCTTGCCTAGTATACATGAGGTCCTGGGTTCCAGATATCTGAAATTCCTTCAGAAATAAAAAGTTAAGGAATGAGAAGCTTTCCCTCAATCAAAACAGAAACCACACATGGAGAAATAATGGTGGTTGCCAGAGATGGGATGGGACAAGGGGAGGGGAGAGTGGTTCATCAAAGGACACAAGTTCCAGTGGGACAGGAGCAGCAAGTTCAAGTGACCTCCTATACAGCAAGGTGACAACAGCTGGCAACAACAGATTGCACAGCATTCTCAGAAATCTCTAACAACACATTTTAATTGTTATCACCACAGAAATTGCTAAGTATGTGGGTAATGCATGTTATGTAGCTTGTTCAGCCATTCCACAAGGTATACATATTTCAATGCATGTCAAATACAATAAATACATACAGGTTTTTTATCTTCAATTAAGAAAAAACAATTTTTTAAAAATGAGCTGGGCATGGTGGTGCACACCTGTAATTCCAGCACTAGGGAGGCTAAGGGAAGAGGGTTGCTGTGAGTTTGAGACCAGCCTGGGCTACAAAATGAGTTCAAAGGGCGGGGGATTTAGCTCAGTGGTGCTGCCACCTGCCTTGTAATTACAAGGTCCTAAATTCGATCCCTGGTACCACAAAAAAAAAACACCAAAATGAGTTCAAGGCCAGCCTGGACTGTATAGTAAGACCCTCCTCTCTCAAAAAAAACCTCCCCCCTCCCCCCGCCACCAGGTACTGGGGATCAAACCAGGACCCTACATTTGTCAGGCAGACCACTGAGCAGCACCACTGAGCCACATCCCCAGCCCAAAAAGAGGACTCTTATGGACAGTTCTATATGTCCTGGTGACAGACACGACACCGGTGCCATAGGGTGGTGACTCCCCGAATGCCTCTAGGGTGTCGAGGACTGGGGTTGGTGCAAGTGCACCTCCTGCTCACCAAGTCCCCTTCTCCAACCCTGCACACTCCTGGATCCTAGAATATATCTCTGGCCATTAGAGCACAAAAGCCAAGCACTCAGAGTAAACACTGCTCTGGGTGCAGAGGATATGAAGCAGAGGCCAAGTGAATTGCATGGCAAGGCAAGCATGAGTTCAGTCTTCCAGTGGTAGAGTGACAAATTCCTGTGGGGGTAAACATGCCAGCAACATCCCCCAAATTCTAAGCCAATGTAACCATGACATACCTCACTAACAGGTAGCCCAAGACTTACCTTAAATACTTTCAGATACTCTGGAAACACAGAAGCAAACTTGTTAACAGTATAAACTTTGGCCTCTTTATTATTTTCCAGACTTCTATGGATGCTCTTCCAGAGAATAACAATGATTTCTAGTAAACCTGCCATGGACCCAACATCATTTACCGACAGTGTTTTGTCCAGAACCTAGAATAGAATAACAAGTACTAAGAGACAAAGCACTATCATCAAAAGAATATTTCAGAGTTAAAGACCTAAGACAGAAATGAAAAGAATATCAATATACCCTAACATGACTTTATTCTCTATTTTAGAGTCTCTTTTAGGGAAGTAAATTTTTTTCAAATCCTACCCAAGAAATAAATTCTAACAACTCTATGTCCTTTGTGCCCAGCAGGACCCACTGCTACCACTTCAGTCTGCAGCCAATGGAAACCAGCCCTGAGCCTGGAATAACGATGGATCTGGACTAACATCCACTGCAAGGCAAGCTTCTCTGGTTTGTGTCATCTGCCTTTGCCTGATCATATGCTGGTAGTGCACAATGACCACAGAACTGAGTTCTCAGTGTAAGCCACAAATATGCTCTAGAAAATTCCCTCTACCCACAGAGCTGGTGGCACCACGCAGCTAACACCGCCGGACAACCTTATCTGTACCAGTGACTGGCATTGCCCCTGGTGACCCAGACACACAGACTCACTCAGTGGAGACTCTGCCGAGGAGGCCTGCAGTGCAGCCACATGGGGGCAGTCTAGCAACTGGCTCCAGAGCCAAGGTTAGAAAGTCTACCTTGAGATGGGCAGGATGATTTAGTTTGGGTTTGGTATTTTTTTGGCAACTGCTTAAGTGTGAGACTAGGAAAACTTAAATTTGATTAAGCAAAGTACACAGAAAAGCAAATGTGGTTTCTATAAAAGGTTAGCTATTTCAACATGTACTTAACGGGGGGGAGGAGGGTTCATTAATAACAATTAAATTTACAAAGCAAAGAAACTCCTAAGGGTTTAGAAGCTACCAGAAGAACAATCTAAAATACAGGTTGACAGCAAGTTTTCATTCCGCATTTAACTTTACTTTTTCCCATTCCAGCTCTGTGGGTATGAGGAGATTTATCAGTGTCTTTGTGGTTTATACCAAGCATTCAGGTACAAGATGACCACGCACTATCAGCATATGCTCAGGAAAATATAAATAGGTACCATTTTTTCAACAAACTAAAGAAGCCCATGATTTAGCGCAGCAGGCTTATCATTAAAATTTCATAAGAAAACCATCATATCTCTTTTCATGAACATCACTTGAAAAATATGCTAAACTCCTAAATAGTAGTTCATTAAATGAGGTCACCTTTTATTTTATAAGAAAACATCTTTGATTTTTAGCAGATGACAACGAGAAAGACTTAAAGGGCCACTTAAAAAAAATTTTGCTTCTAGCCATAAAGATGTTCTTACAGTGAGAATATCTATATGTATATGACAAATTATATTTTTCTAACACAGGTTACAATGTGGCTATAAACTCCTGTCTAGAATTCAAATACCTATATGACATGTTATGTAAACTTTTTTCATAGTATGCAATGGAACTACATATTTCTCAACTCTTGTCTTTTCCAGTGGCACAGAACTTGACCTAAAAGGTTATAATGCAAGCTTTCTCAGTAATGTGTAAGTATTAACAATGAGGTGAGAAATTCCTTCAGTATTTAGAAAATCTAAAAGCCTCTCAACTATGGCAATACAAATATGTCTTTCCTTTTGCAAAGCATTTCCAATCCCAGTGCCAATGCACGATGGTCCAGAGAGGCTGTCTGTCCACACCTAGGTGCATTCACTCTCTACCTGTCACCGCTGTCTGCACGCAGCTGGGCTCTGGAAGGACCCTATGAGCATGGTGAAATCAGCATGGTGCATTACCAGCCCTGGTTCCAGGGATTGCTTCCCTGAGAAGTTCTAGATTCCCTTGCCACACACTGAGGGGAAGCCCAAGAAAGGGACCTCAGATTCCACCCACCCATCCTGACTGTTCAGTGGGGGTTTCCATTTGTGCGATGGAAGCTGCTAGGCAGTAGTGGTGTAAGGATCTCCTAGTGCTCTTCTTTCTCTACTGCACATCTGTTTCCTTGTACTTTTTCAGCAAAATTCCTGCTGAATAATTTCAGCCCAGTTTAACTATCTGTGGGGCAGAGAGAAAAGGGAATCAGCTACGTACTGGTACAGCTAGTGGCCTGTTGAGGTGCAACAGAGAATGTGCTGGGACCACTGTGACATCGGCTGAGAAGCCACCTTGTGGAAGAGGCAGAGTCTGGGCAAACCTGACTGCCTCTCCAGAGGGGACAAGGACAGGAGTAGCTGAGAGGGGCTGCTGGCCCAGGACCTGCCATGCAATGAGCACACTAGTTCCAGTTTCCGCAGAGAAACTGCTCTTGATCTGCTCCAGGCCAACTTCCTAACTGAGCCAGGTGCTTCAAAATAACCCCTAAATGCTACTGCAGATGCCACAGCTTATTGCTGGTAAACAGTATGTTCAAGTCTTAAATACTGTTTTCTTCTGCTATAACTGGACATTTTGGGTTCCTAAAAAACAGCAGGCAAAGTGTCCCTTTAATAAATCACATGTAAAAAGACAATTCTACATATAGCTCACATGCAGAAATTCAGCCCCAAGATGTCTTTAGTAGAACCTCGTGTTAGACACTATGACAGAAACTACCTGTAGCATCAGTACTTTATATATACATATATATGTACATACATGTACACGTATGTTATATATTACCAATATTTTACTATCAATACTAAAGGAGCAAGTAGAAAAATAAAAACCCTGACATAACAGCCCGGAAAGGGTTACGACCAAGTTAACACGCAAGCACTCACGCTCACATTCTCCTTCTCCCGTTCCTCTTGGTCCTCCTGATGCTCTCTTAATGCTCTCTGGACACAGGAGTTCAAGCAGTGGCGAATAACGTGGATCAGCTTTGCTAAAACGTTTAATAATAATTAACTGAGCTGTTTCTTCCACAAAATTAACTTCTAATAGGGAAATTATAAACCCAATTACTTAATTTATTTTAAAGGAAACCATTAAAAATGCAATAAAGCATGGAGTTTATTAAAGTGACGAGTCTGGGGAACTATGGGAAAGTGCACTAGGCCAGGACGGGAATGGCAGTCAGACCTATGTTGGTACAGGCGGTGTGCTCGTGGGCATACTGATAGAACCTCCGGGCAGCTGCAGGATTCATCTGGATCAGCGTGACACAGCGCTCACACCAGACCTCCTCTGGCTGGTTCACAGGCAGGAAGGAGTTGAAGATGAGGCTCACCAGGCGCCGAGATACAGGTCGAGACTCCGTTTCCAGACGAATCAAAATGTGCTCCATGGGGCATATTTTCCAAAACTGTGAAAAGCACATGTGCAGAAGGAAACCAGCAATTGCTCACATTATCTCCAAAACTGCTTAAGGGACATTTCCAAAATATAACCAAAGAGGAATTAATTTTTACATTTAAGAAAATTCAGCAGCAAATAAACATATGAAAAAATGTTCAACATCACTGGTCATTCAAGAGATGCAGATGAAAACAGCACTGAGATTCCATCTCACCCCAGAAAGAATGGCTGCTATCAAGAAATCATCCAATAACCAATGCTGGCAGGGGTGTTGGGAGAAAGGAACCCTTCTCCATTGCTGGTGGGAGTGCAGACTGGTGCAGCCACTGTGGAAATCTGTATGGAGATACCTCAAAGAACTAGGACTAGAGGTCCCATTTGACCCAGCCATTCCCCTGCTGGGTCTCTTCCCAAAATAATTAAAAGAATCATACCACAGCGATGTATGTGCACCCATGCTTATAACAGCCCAGTTTGTAATAGCTGAAGCTTGGAAACAGCCCAAGTGTCCATCAACTGGAAACTGGATAAAGAAGATGTGGTTTTTTAACAAAATGGAGTACTACTCAGCCATAAAGAATGAGAAACTAGAGACATTCATAGCTAAATGGATGCACATTGAGGCCATACTCTTAAGTGAAATAAATAGGACACACATTTGTAAATACTGAATAGTTTCTCTGGTGTGAGAAACCGAAAGTGTAAATAAGGATTAAAATGATTAAAATGAATAATTGATAATGTGAAATACAAAGAAAAAGTCCAAAGGGATAGGGGAAGTGGGAGGGGAAGGGGAAAGGAAAGAAGGGAAAGGAAAAAATTATGAAAAAAGGAAAAAATGGAAACAAAGTCTATGTAAATAGGGAAGGGTGGAGGGGGTGGAGGAAGGGCAAAGAATGGGGAAAAAATAAGAACCAAAATATATCATATAAAGGTACAAGTACCCAATAATAAATGTAAATGTACTGTATACCTAAAATGTACCAATGAAAGAATTTCAGGAGGAAAAAAAAAAAAGACAATTCATTTAAGGTTGGGCACAGTGGTGCACACCTGCAATCCTAGCGCTCTAGGAGACTGAGGCAGGAAGATCACAAGTTCAAGCCCGGCCTGGACAACTTAATGACTTGATGAGACCCTGTCTAAAAATGTTTAAAAACAGCTGGCTGGAGATATAGCTCAATGTGAAGGCCCTGGGTTCAATCCCCAGTACTGAAAAAAAAAATTCATTTAAAAAAAATATACTAGAAACTCATTTTTCTGTGAAGGGTAGAATTAATAAGTCTACATTTTAAGGGGATGAAAAGAGAATTAAGATGTGTTACGTACATGTACCAACTCCACACAAGGAATGTAAATATTGTATACTGCAAACATGTACTAATAAAAATAAAGCTGGGCATGGTGGTACACATCTGTAATCCCAGCACTGGGGAGGATGAAGCAGAAAGATCACCGAGAGAGTTTGAGGCCAGCCTGGGCTACACAATGAGTTCCAGGACAACCTGAACTGAACTATAGCCTATCTCAAAAATAAACAGATAGGTAGGTAGGTAGGTAGGTAGATAGATATAATGAAAACACTAAAAAGAGAAGTACCAATGTATAGATCGCCCAAGTAAAAGGTGGTTGGAAAGGTTAATTATAATTATTTAACACCATGATTAATGTACAGTTTTAAAGTGCCAAATAATAAATAGCCATGATTATCAATCTAACCATTTAAAAATTTCTTAAAATGCCGTAACTTTAACCAATATAAAAAGTGAATTTTAAAAATGTGTAACTAGGATAGAAGATGTAGTTCAGGGGTAGAACACTTGCCTAGCATGTATGAAGCCCTGGGCCCCATCAACAGCACCACAAAAAAATATATATAAAATGGGCCGTAGAATTTAGCTCAGAGGCACTGGCACCTGCCTCGCAAGCGCAAGGTCCTGAGTTCTGTCCTTGCTACAAAAAACACACACACACAAAACAAAACAAAAAAAGGTACTACTTTTGACAAGGACACTACTCCTTTCTCAGAGGGCATCCCCCTTGAGTCCCCACTCCTACAGCAGGCAGTCTCTTCTAACACTGCGTCCCTATTACCCCACACTCAACAGCCTGGTCTCTTTCTCCATTACTCTCTTCTTGCAGCCCACCTTGCACGCCTCTAATGTGTCAAACCCGGAGAGATCACACTGCACCTCTAATGAAAAGATCCAGTCTCTAGACAACCTTCCCAGTTCACTTGGCAGGTAACAAATGTTATCTCCATTTCCCTTCCAGCTATTACCTCACAAATCACTGGCAAACAATTTTACACTTCAAACATAACACTACACCAAAAATAACCCCTTTATAACTAAAGTTTTAATAGGCTGTTAAAAAAAAAAAAGGCAAGCTGGGCATGATGGCACACATCTGTAATCCCAGCAATCAGGAGGCTAAGGCATGAGGATCACTGTGAATTTGAGGCCAGCCTGGGCTACACATTAAGTTCAAGGCCAGTCTGAACTATATAGAAAGACCCTGTCTCAAAAAACAAAAAACACACAAACCAAAACCAGGCAATCAAAATTATAGCAGGTTTTGTTGAAACTGACATGCCATCTCTTTTACACTGAAATGCAGGGTCCAAAATAGCCAGAGAATTTTGAAAGAAAACAAAACTGCAGAGCTTACAGTATAAGACTTACTGTGAAACTGTAACAACCTGGGCAGCACAGTACTCAGACATCGACAGACAGGATGAGACAGACAGACAGGATGGAATAGTAGTAGAGGAATAGAGTAGAGGCCAGAAACAGACCACACAAGGTCTGTGAATTCCAACAAAAACTACAAGTAACTCAACTGGGTGTGACAAGAAACTACACAGATCACTCTAAATCTTAGTTTCTTCTAACACACGTGTCTTCCATGGGAACAAAGCCCCCAACCCTGGCCCTGGATAGTACCTGTGGCTCACCTCAGGCAGTGGTCACTGATGCTTTATTTTCCTCCAGAAGTTCCTTATCTATATCTGAGCAGATACATATATGTAACTTCCTCTTTTTCTACAGCTGTTCACACATCACGAACACCTCTGTAATTCATTTTTACTGCTGTATCTTAGAAGCCCCACAGAAAGACCATCCCTGTTCTTTTGCAGCCACACAGGGTCATTTCTCCTATGGACACACCTACACTGATGGACCTGTCAGGGTGTTTCAAATGCTTTGGTACGACGAAACAGCACTTAAAGGGAATTTCTCAGAATATGAAATAGAGAAAGTTCACAGTGTTACCATGTAACAGGGAGGTCAAGAAAACTACACCCAACATTTTTAGCAAGAAATTAAACAACTAGTGCTGGAAGGGGAAAATTACATAAGAAGTTCATACAATGCCTGAGTGTCCATTTTTAACCAGGTAAGTATCTTCTTACTTCTCTTGTGAAGACGAGGCTTATAGCCAACCTTCCCAAGTAACACTTAAGTGCTTACCAGGTATCCAGTATTTAAATACTACAGCAAATATTTCAATAAACACTGTCACACATGATTTTTAAGAAATCATGTAAGGGGGACTATTTATATTAATGTATTTCAAAAAGGAAACAAAAATTTATATTTCTGAAACCTTCAATGGAAAACACAAAACAAAATTTTATTACACAAATGATCAAATATTCCAGCTATCAATTTGCTTAAAATGCAATTATTAATACTGAGGATAAAAATTACTTTCTCTCTGTTGGATGAAAACAAATGCACTTGTTTATCTCATGTCTCCAACAAAACTCCTGATTACCTACCTTTGCAGCCCGCACAGCTTTGATTTTCAGCAGCATATCCACAAAAGCCACTCGCACTTTCTCTGAGTTGTCATGGAGACTGTATCTGAGTCCTGGCAACAGCTGTTCCAATAAAGGGTGGCTCAGTTTGTTATCCAAAATTATCGGCAGACACTTCGTCAAAGGAAAAACAACTCAAAATCAGAACATGCCAATAAAAAGTTCAGGTAAGAAAAATTCATTTAGAAGACATGCAGTTACATGTTTACTAGAGATAATTATATCTATAGAAAATAACACTTTTCTCAAAGTTTCATATCAAAAGTATATTTTTAATGAATTAATATGGTTTCAAAAACTGATAATCACTGCACCCACTACTGCATTCAAACAAGGCTGAAGCAAGTCTGCTAACAAAAGAAATCTTCAGTGTCCCCTTAGCTAAACTGTGGAGGGTTCTGGGTGGAAAGAATGAGAACATGCAGACCAAATGGGGCCACATCGAAAGCTGAATCAAGAATCCATTTATCTTTTAACAGCCCGTGCACTCTGTATTTCCAAACTTGATATCCACATTTGTTTAACCTATATAGCCAGATCTTTCCTGGGATGCAAGGCCAGTACCTGTGGCAACCCAGGAGTGCCGGCTCAAGATCTGAGTGCACACATCTCCAGTGCTCTTCCACCTCCGGTTACTAGAAAGAACACTTTTGTAGGTTCTTACCAAAACAGCCTATATCAGTATGCTGCTCAGGTACACAGAGCCACTATTCTAAAGTGCCACACCCAAATGCATGCTGACTCATCCATCTGCCCACACTATGTCTCCAAGGCTGCCAAGGCTTCTGACAGCCTTCCTTCAGCCCAGACCCTCTATGATGGTCAAACTCATCAACATGACTGGACTAAGAGATTTCTGTAAAGGCGACTGGATCATCGGGGAGCTGAACTCATCAGTGGATTAGCCCTGATGTTCACATCTCAATGTGCTGTTAGGAGGTGGGGCCCAGCTAGATGTGGTCACTGGGGGCTGCCTTTGGAGGGTGTATTTCTTGCTGGTGCTTTTCCCCTGCTCTGTTTCCCAGTCACCATGAACTGAGCAGCTTTGCTCTGCTACAGCCCTTCCAAATGCTGTTTCTGTCTTGGAGCCAGTGACCATGGATTGAATCCTCTGAAACTATACACAAATGAAACCTCTCTTCCTTTAAGTTGTGGGTATATCACCCCATGGATCTGGAACTAAGTAAGGAAAAGGGGACTGAACACTTAGGGGCTTTTTGAAAGTAAAGGCTGCACTAACAATGACTGCAGAGCGGCAGGGCAACCATCAACACACCCAGCAGCAGCATCTGGAGACTCCTCTGCAGAAGTGCAGGTTCCTTTTTTGGGGGTGACGCCAAAGAAGAGCTGCTCTCTTTCAGATCTGAGAAGGTGCACAGTAGAGAATAGCTCCCATAGCAAGGATGCAGAAGAAAGTCAGGCAGGTGGGTTACAAAGGAGCACCGGGCTGCATGGCAGAGCCTAAGACCATCTCCCAGACTGTCAGCTTTCTCGAAAGGGAGGAGAAAATCACCAGCGCTAAGTGTCAGGAGCCAGCCCCTGTCAACAGTTGTCTCCAGGGTGGAAAAATGAGGTCACTTGGCTCCTCTCAGCTGCCATCCTGAAATTGCCATACCCTCTAAACCTGTCAGAGCACTTGTGGTCAAGGCCTGGACACCATGCCCTGGCTCACCACCACATCTACCCTCCCTCATTCTATCATCAGCAGGAGCCGAGAAAACAAATCAATGACCACCACCTAATGTCCACGTTACAGTGTCCACAAACCCCAGGCACTTTGTCCTGGTGGCTCAGGAAGAAAGGTGTGAGGTGTCTTTGCAAAGGATGAGCCAGTGAAGGGCTGGCAGGTAGAGTGTAAAAATGACTCACATTAATCCAAACATACCCCACATACAAGGTTCAGCACACAGCACTCAAACTATAATCCCTTTGTAAGAAAGATTTGTGCTGGTCAATTGTAAGGGTGGCAGAGACCCCCAAAAAGGGGCAGAGGATCAGCGGGGAGCAGAAACCTCAAGGCCGGGATCTTGTGGCCAGAGGGCGAGGCCTCACGCACCCACCCGATCTAGAGAGCATTCAGCCGTTCCACGCTGTGGATGGTAAGTCACATCCCTTCACAAGTCCCGCAGACTGTATTCTGGGCCCCTTCACACATGCATCCTCTTTCTCCAAAACATGCCACAGGGTGCTGGGAGCACCCTCCCCAACACTAAGCTAACTAGTATTATGTCAGGAGTCATCATCTGTAGAAGACACTTTTGGTTTCTCTTAAACCTTACTTTGGAAACACAACCAAAGTATCAATAGTATTGCATCTACAGAGGAGAATAATGGTTGATTTTTTAATCTTTTCCCTTCTCCGTACTTCATAAAACATTACTTTGTAAAATCTTACCTTAGGAGGAGCAGAGCTCCCCCCTCCCCCGACCCAGTGCTGAGGAGGTGAGACTTTCGGGCAGCTGTACCACCACCCGAGTGCCGAGGAGGTGAGCTGCATGGGCACCAGCAGCACACAGGACACGCCCCCCACCGACACGGCTGATAGATTAATAACTCCCACCAACTGTCATTTTCTAAGCTATGCTTGATGCTATTGTTGTTGCTGACTGTATCACTTGGGCTAAGGTGTTGTGATTGATCTAATCAGTTGTCCTTCCTGGTATACTGAAAATGAGATTGCCTAAGAGTCACTAGAGATGCAAAACCTACAGACCAACTATGTCTGGAAGACACCTCTGAGAAGCAATTATTCTGTAAGGGCTCCAAATACAAGCAACAAAGATACTTACAATAAGCAATACTGAAGAATCAACCCAGGAATTAAACCAAAAACAGTACCAACAACAAAAATAGAAATGAGAAGACACCTAAGCAAGGTGCAAACCCAGACTTCCAGCTCACCAAAGGCAAATTCTGGGGGAAACGAGGAGGAAAAATCTGATAACCAACTACCTGGACACCCTGAACTGATAGCACAGGAAGTAACAAAACAGACGAATGAGGCTCTAGAAAAATCCAAAACAGAAAAAATTTCCCAGATAACTACAGAGATGGTGAGCAGAATGAAAGAAAGACTAGAGACTCTAGAACAGAAACAGATAAAAAAAATAGATGAGCTCAGGACCATGATGGAAGTCATGAATGCCCAGTATAGGAAAGAAATGTAAACCATGAATCCCCAACATAGGAAAGAAAAGGAATCTGTGAAACGGATTCAAACAGATATCTAGGAGATTGAAAACTCTACTGAAAGCATTCGCAGCAAAATGAGCCAATGTGAAGAAAGAATTTCAGATATAGAAGACAAGACTCCAGTTAGTGACCATGAAAAGAGAGATTTCTTCAAAATAATAAGGGACCACGAGAAATCGATCCAGCAGCTCCTAGATGACTCAAAGAAGAATAATATAAGACTGATAGGAATCCACGAAAAAGCAGAATAAAGTACAAATGACATAAAAAACTGTTCACAGAATTAATGACAGAAAACTTCCTAAACAAAGCAAAAGAATTTGACGTACAGTAGGTGAGGCATATAGGACTCCAACTAGCCATGATAAAAAAAAAATCTATACCTAGACGTATAATAATCAAGATCCTGGAAACCCAACAGAACAAAATACTACAAGCAATTAGAGAAAAGAAACAAATCACATACAAAGGAAAGCCTATCAGAATTACAGCAGACTTTTCAACACAAACCCTCAAGTCAAGGAGAGCCTGGAGTGAGGTTATTTCCATCCCTAAAAGAAAAAAACCTCCAACCTAGACTGATGTATCCTGCAAAACTATTTCAAAATTGATGGGGAGGGCCAGGGATTTAGCTCAGTGGTTTCGCCGCCTGCTGCACAAGCTCAAGGACCCAAATTCAATCCCTGGTACCAAAAAAAAAAAAGCAAACTTGATGGGGAAATAAGATACTTCCATGACAAAGAATACCTCAGAAACTTCATGAATACCAAACCAGCACTCCAAACAATTCTAAACAATATCCTAGAGAAAGACAATGAAGATCACATCTCCATGAGGCCCAACAGAACAAATCTACCAAGCAAGGCAAGAAATTAAAGGGAGAGGGGGGAAAAATAAAAAATAAAAGCGCCAACAGCAGGAAAATGATATGACAAGGATAAGTCAACACATATCAGTTATAACTATCAATGTTGATGGCCTCAATTCACCAATCAAAAGAAACAGACTAGCAGAATGACTTAAGAAGCAAAATTCAACAATATGCTGTATACAAGAAACACACCTAGTTCAAAAACAAATTCATAGACTGAAAGTAAAGGGATGGAAAACAGTTCTCCATGTGACAGGAGCCTGGAAAAAGGCAGGAGTAGATTTTAAACCAAAGGCAAAGTAGATTTTAAACCAAAACTAATGAAGAGAGACAAAGAAGGTCACTACATCCTTGTAAGGGAACAATCCAGGAGGAAGAGATGACAATCATAAATATATATACACCAAATACTAATGCCAACTATACAAAACAAATATTAATGGACATGAAAAACCAAATAAGCATTAATACAGTTGTAGTAGGGGACCTCAATACCTCACTATCACAAATAGATCAGGGCTGGGGATTTAGCTCAGTGGTTTCGCCACCTGCTGCGCAAGTGCAAGGACCCGAGTTTGATCCCTGGTACCAAAAAAAATACCAAAAAACAAATAGACAGGTCATCTAGACAAAAAATCAACAATGAAATACTAGAACTGGACCAAGCTTTTGAACAAATGGACTTCATAGATGTCGACAGAGTGTTCCACCCCACAAAATCAGAGTATACATTCTTTTTGACTGCACACAGGTCATTCTCCAAAATAGACTACATGCTAGCTCATAGAACATGTGCAAGTAAATGCAAAGCAACTGGTTATCCTATCAGACCATAGTGCAATTAAACTAGAGATTAGTAACACAAGAAACAAAAAGAACTTCACAAACACATGGAAATTGAATAACACTCTCCTAAACAACCAATGGGTCACAGAGTAAATTAAAGAAGAAATTAGACAGTTTGTACAATTAAATGATAATGCCAATAAAATATACAGGAATCTATGGGACACAATGAAAGCAGTTCTAGAAAGGAAATTCATAGCAGTGAATGTCCATACAAGGAAAACAGAGTGAGCTCAAATAAACAACCTAATGTTGAACCGTAATCTCCTAGAAAAAGAAGAGCAAGACAAACCCAAAGCTCATAAAAGGGAAGAAATTATAGAGATCAGAGCAGAAATCAATGCAATGGAGACTAAGGAAATGATACAAAAAAATCAAAGAATCAAACAGTTGGTTTTTTGAAAGAATAAATAAAATCAACAAACTCTTACCAACCTTGTCAAAAAAAGGAAAGAAAAGGCTCAAATACTTGCAATTAGGAATGAAAAAAATGAAGTCACAACAGATCCAGCAGAAATCCAGAGGATCATCAATATCTCCTTTGAGAACCTGTACTCTAATAAGATGGAAAACACAGAAGAAATGGACAGATTCCTAGATACATATGAATTACCAAAGTTGAACGAAGAAGATATAAAAAATCTAAATACCCCAATTACAATCAGTGAAATTGAAAACGTACTTAAAAATTTACCAACAAAGAAAAGCCCAGGTCCGGATGGCTTCACTGCTGAGTTCTGCAGGACATTTAGAGAAGAACGATTCCCACTACTCTTTAAACTCTTCAATGAAATTGAAAAGGAAGCAATACTTCCAAATTCATTCCTGGAAGCAAGTGTGACTTTGATTCCAAAAGCAGACAAAGACCCAACCAAAAAAAAGAGAACCACAGGCCAATCTCCCTAATGAACATACATGCAAAAATCCTCAATAAGATACTGGCAAACAGAATACAGAGGGTCATCAAGAAGATCATACACCCTGACCAAGTCAGATTTATCCCAGGGATGCAAGGATGGTTCAACACATGCAAATCAATAAATGTAATACACTACAGAGCCATGGACAAAAACCATATGATCATCTCAATAGATGCAGAAAAAGCATTTGACAAAATTCAACAACCACTCATGATAAAAACCCTACAAAAAGTTGGAATAGATGGTCTTTATCTCAAACTGCTAAAGGCTATCTATGAAAAGCCAACAGCCAACATCATACTAAATGGTCAAAACCTGAAAACCTTCATGCTAAAATCAGGAACAAGACAATATCACCACTCCTGTTCAATATAGTTCTGAAAACATTAGCCATAGCAATTAGACAAGAGAAAGAAATAAAAAGAATAAAGATAAGAAAGGAAGAAGTTGGGCTGGGGATGTAGCTCAGTGATTCTGCCGCCTGACTCGCAAGCACAAGGACCCATGTTCAATCCCGGCACCCCCCCCAAAAAAATGAAAGGAAGAAGTTAAACTGTCATTATTTGCCTATGATATGACACTCTACATAGAAGACCTAAAAAACTCCGCCAAAAGACTTCTAGACTTAATTGACAGATTCAGTAAAATAGCTGGATACAAGATCAACACTCAAAAATCAATAGCCTTCTTGTATATAAATAACAGACTCACTGAGAGAGAAATTAGGGAAACAATTCCTTTCACAATAGCATCCAAAAAAATGAAATATCTAGGAATCTATCTAATGAAGGAAGCAAAAGACCTCTACATTGAAAACTACAGCATTCTAAAAAAAGACATTGAAGAGGATATAAAAATGGAAAGATATCCCCTGTTCCTAGGTAGGAAGAACCAATATAGTGAAAATGGCCATATTTCTAAAACTGCTATACAAATTCAATCCAATCCCAATTGAAATTCCAAGAGTATATTTCACAGAACTAGAAAAAATAATCCAAAAATTTATTTGGAACAAGAGACCTAGAATAGCAAAAACAATTCTAGGCAACAGAGACATGGCAGGGGGTAACACAATCTCCAAGTTGAAACTACACTACAAAGCTACTGTGATAAAAACAGCATGGTACTGGCAAAGAAACAGACCCAAGGATCAGTGGAACAGATTAGAAGATGCAGAAACAACTCCAGACATACTCAGCCACCTCATCTTTGAAGGAGCCAACCACCCTCATTGGAGGAAAGATAGCCTATTTAATAAATGGTGTTGGAAAAACTGGACCTCAACCTGCCAAAGATTAAAACTGGACCCATACCTATCACCAGGCACTAAACTAAAATTGAAGTAGATTAAAAATCTAAATAATAAAACAGAAACACTAAATTTGCTGGAAGATAAATTAGGCAGAACTCTCAAAGACCTTGGCATAGGAAAAGACTTTATGAACAAATCCTCAGTAGCACGGGAGTTAGTACAAAGAATCAACAACTGGGATCTCATCTAAAGCTTCTGCACTGCAAGAGAAACCACCAACAGAGCTACGAGACAACCTACAATGTGGGAAAAAATTTTTACCAGCTGTCCCTCAGACAAAGGTTTACTATCTAGAATATATAAAGAACTGAAAAAAATCAGACCCCCCAAATATAACGATCCAATCCAAAAATGGGTATCTGAAATGAACAGACATTTCTCAGACAAAGAAGTAAAAGCAGGAAATAAACATATGAAAATATGTTCAACATCACTGGTCATTCGAGAGATGCAGATGAAAACAACACTGAGATTCCACCTCACCCCAGAAAGAATGGCTGCTATCAAGAAATCAACCAACAACAAATGCTGGTATGGCTGTGGGGAGAAAGGAACCCTTTTCCATTGTTAGTGGGAGTGCAGACTCGTGCAACCACTGTGGAAATCAATATGGAGATATCTCAAAAAACTAGGATTAGAGGTCTCATTTGACCCAGCTATTCCTTTGTTGGGTATCTTTTGAAAAGAATTAAAAGCATCATGCCACAGTGATATATGTGCACCCATGTTTATAGCGGCACAGTTTGTAATAGCTAAAACTTGGAAATAGCCCAACTGTACATCAACTGGAGACTGGATAAAGAAAATGTGGTTTTTTAATAAAATGGAGTACTACTCAGCCATAAAGAATGAGAAACTAGAAACATTCATAGCTAAATGGATGCACACTGAGGCGATACTCTTAAGTGAAATAAATAGGACAAACGTGTAAATACCGAAAAGTTTTGCTGGTATGAAACACTAAAAGTATAAATGAGGATCAAAATGTATAATTGATAATTGAAATAGGAAGAAAAAGTCTAAAGGAGTAGGAGAAGTGGGAGGGGGAGGGGAAAGAAAAAGGAAAAGAAAAAAACATGAGAAAAGGAAAAAATGGATACAAAGTCTATAAATAGTGAAGGATGGAGTGGGTGAAGGGAGGCCAGGGGAATGGGGAAAAAATAACCAAAATATATCATGTAAAGGTACAAGAACCCAATGATGAATGTAACTGTATTGTATACCTAAAATGTACCAATAAACTTAATCAAAAAATAAATCTTACCTTAAAGACAGAGCAACGCACGTCAGCTGAGCTAGTATCAAACGCCAGCTCCCCAGTCACTCTCTTCAGGAGGTCAATGAGAATGGTGGGGGGCATCATTTCCCAGTATTTGGACGTTATTTTACAAACACCAAGGATTCCTGTGGAACGGACCATCGGATAAGGATCTTCTAGAAGGCTCTATAAGCAGGAGGGGGAAAAGGCTTAAAAATCTTAAGTCAGTTCCCTTAATATCAGTATCTGCTTTATACACCAGCACTTTTGGAATTTACAACTTAATAACAGACATTTAAAGTTACAGAAATACTGATCATATACCCATCCTCCCCCAATACCCAAGGAAGACAGGATCCAGGACCGGGGTACCAATCCACAGCTGCTTCAGGTCCCACATTAACAGGGTGCAGCATCTGCACATAAGCTATACACATTCCCTTGTACATTTTAAATCATCCCTGCACCACGCATGACACCTAAAACAATGCAAATGCTATGTAAACAACTGTTTCCTTAGGGGATATGGACAAGAAAAAAGTCTGTACATATCCAGTACAGACACAATTTTTCCAAATACTTTCAATCTGCAGTGAGTGGAATCCAGATACAGAATCCACAGCTAAGGAATGCCACCGTGTGTGGATTCCTGGATCCCAGACTGCTTGTATTTAAGAAGAGCAACCTCGAACGTGGGGTGCTCGTGTGTCACCTCCATCTGTAAGACTCTTGATTCCATGGCTCAAGTATCAGCCTCATCCCTTGGTGAGATCTGTCAACCACAGGAGGCATTCCAGGCAGACACCACTATGGACACCCCTATCTTCAATCACAAAATGCCGTAGTGCACAGGGCCCACAGTAAAACAACTCTGCTGGAATGCACTAATGCAGGCTAGCACTGTCTGCGGTGGTTAACAATTCAGAACGAGAAAATGAGGCAGCCTGGTTACATACCCTCCAAGGAAGCACAGGACACCACCAGGGCAAATTCTCACATGACAAACATAGATGCACCAATGTGAATCCCCTCAACTGCATGTAGTTACCTACCTCCAGGAAACACAAGGGCCCAGTAACATGTTAGAGGCATCATGGAAATGAGTTCTACAAAACAGACTCTGGGAAACTCAGTAGATAAACCTCTCCTCCAACAATGTTAAAAATGGCAAGTTAAAAAGAACAAGAAGCCCAGTGTGGTAGTGAATACCTATAATCCCAGCACTCAAGGAGGCTGAGCCAGGAAGACCACAAGTTCAAGCCAAACCTGGACAACTTAATTTAGCAAGACCCTGTCTCAAAATAAAATGTAAAAAAGGCTGGAGATGTAGCTCAGTGGAAGGTCCTAGGTTCAATTCCAGTGCCAGGAAAAACAGAAAAAGAAAAAGAGCTTGCCAGAATGGGAACTTGTAGTCCAACAATATCTGAATCTTAGCTAAATACAGATTCAAATGAACCCAGCAAAATGGGAACAGTGACTGGATGTTTGATGACAAAAAAGGTCCTGTCTTTTAACATTACCTTCTGAAGTATTTAGCTGAAATAATATGGTATTTCTGATGTTTCAAAACAAAAGTCAGATTAGGCTTACTAGGGAAGAATTGAACCAGCTATGGGTACAGAAGTATCCATTGCACTACTCTACTTTTTATTTTGTGAGAAACTTTTAATTACTAAACTTTATAAGTACAAAATAATTTTTAGTTTCTCTTTTTCAGTTAGAAAAACAGAAGCTTCAAAATGCATTAAGCACTTACCTATCTCCTCCCCAAAATTAAAAATAGGTAAATAAAGTGTTTAGTGATGACACAAATAAAAGGCTTGAGGAACTTCTCTAAGAAAGAGTTAGGGTCAGGTTCACAGATGAAGGAGCAGAGACAGTGTGACTGGGACACTCCGACAAGGAGTCCCTGAAGGTGAGGACCACAGACCACTGACTCTGGGCAGGAAGACATGGGGAAACAGCCGCCAGAAAGCATGTGCATGAGGACAAGCAAACACACCGAGCAAGTCCAGGTCTGTGGGGGAGGTTCCTGGAATGGACACTGCAAAAGAGTGTGTGAGGACGCCAAACATCTACAAGGGAGTAGCAGGAGTAGGTGCCAAGGAAGGGCTCCCTGCCAGGTGAAGGGCAACCAAGGCCAGCTATAATCACAGCTGAGGAGGGGCCATGACACAACAGTGGTGCCACAGTCTGGACACAGCAGAAGCCCATCAGAGCTCCACCACATAAGATACGTACATACAGTTCTTCAAACTGTTTCTGAATTTCACTATCCATCTCCTGAGCATGGAAGTTAGGATCTCGAACAGGAAATGCCTCAACGAACAACAAAGCAGCATTTGATCGAACTTCAGAGTTTCTGGTCTATAAAAATAAGAGAAGGGTACTTTTACAATCCCAAAGAGAGCAAAGGCTTATGTCTAATGTTCCCAAACTGATACTTCTATTATCTCAACATAGACTTAGATTCGAATGAAAGACAATTATAATATTTAAATTGGCCAAACTGGGTGGGGGTTCAATGGTAGAGTGTGCTCAGTATGCATGAGGCCCTGGGTTCCAACATTAATCAATCACCAAACTTGGTGATACTGCCATTAAACTAAGCCAAAACTCAGTTCAGCACCAATGGATGTTAAAAGATCAGCCTCCTCACTTCAGAGCACATTTCATGTCATTAAGAGATGGCCATTTGTGGAGGAGCCTCCTGTGCTAATCAGGAATGGCTGGCCTCTAGCCAGTCGCCGGCTGGGGGCTGGAAGACAGGCATCGGCAGCCCAGCCAGCCTGGTGGTCCTCACACACACCAACATCCTTCCCACGCAGCTGCTTCAGAGTAGCCCTGTACTCGGCACTCAACTGATCTACCTTTCCCATTAAGTAAACCCAAGAAGCGCTTTAATTAAAAAAGACACGTTGAGAACCAGGTATGGTGGTGCTCACTTACAGTCTCAGCTACTCCAGAGGCTGAGCCCAAGGAGTTCAAGGCCAATCTTGAAAGGTAAAACAGTGAGACCTTGTCTCAAAAAAAAAGAAAAAGAGGGCCAGGGATTTAGCTCAGTGGTGACGCAAGGTCCTGAGTTCGATCTCCAGTATCAAAAAAACAAAAGAAAAAGAAGAAAAACATTTTGCTCTATAAGTCCACAAAGCTTGCAGTCTCTCGTATTGGTTTTACTTCCTCACTGCACTCTGAATTAGCAATGATCAATTCAAATTGCAATTAGTATACCCTGAACATGGATACACTATTTAAAAAAAAATTTAATTAACATGTTAGCAGTACATGATGATTACATTCACCATGGAGAATTTGTACGTGTACATAACACATCTCAATCCACCTCCCCCTTTTTGGTCAGCATCAGATTTATGATACGCTATTTGAAATGTATACCTTTAGTCCTCTCCAAAGGATGGGCTTATATAATCTATACAGCATCTCTTCCACTCCCTGGCGAACATTCTTTTGATGCTGAAAGTAACTCAATACCTAAGGATTAAAAAAAGGGGAAAAGAACACAAAAATGAAAAGAAAGGGAGTGTTGTTACATTTTAAAAGTATTATTTGAAAAGACCAACAAGAGAGGCTGTTCTCTCTAGCCTGTAACCATGTTCCTTAGTGAGAAGTAGGACAGCACTGGATGGAGACATGAGATAGAAATAAGCACCAGAGGCCTGTTATTATAGCATAGCTTGGGTTCTAATTTCTACTATCCAAGTCAGGGGCAATGGCACAAACACTGGGGAGGCTGAGGCAGGAGGATCACCTGAGCCCCAGAGATCAAGGCCTGCCTGGACAACATAGCAAGATCTTGTCTCAGAAAACAATAAATTAATTTAGAAATTTAAAAAATAAATAATTTCTACTGGCCTACTAATAGCCATATAACCTCAATAAAACTGACACTTAAACCCTTGACCTTCAGAGCACAATGGAAGCAGTACTTCTAGCTTCCAAAATGCCCCCGACACCTGTTCCCACTGACTGGTGACACGAAGTGGCTCTGGACACAACTCCCTGATGAACAGGGGTCACCACTTATGACCCTTCACCGTACAAGTTTAGTTTAGGTACCAAGTTCTTCCCAAAACTTATGAATAATCAGAAAACACATCATCCTCAGAGGTTCCATTCCTTTCTAGCAAGAATCTTCCCACAACTGTGCAGACTTTCAACCCCAGGAACAACCACCTTTCCCTTACCTTTGTAATTTACTCCTCTAGAAGTTAAAATTAATTAGTGAAAATGGGAAACAGAAAACATTAAGCAAGCTCTTAAACAACAGCCTACACTTGAAATGAGCTTGTACCATTGGTACCCTAAAAGAACTACAGGATGAGGATTATTTTTTCTAGTTAATTCTTTATTTCAGTTTTGTTGATGGTGATAAAGAGGCTTTAATCTTCACCTTTCTTCTTATGTCCATATTATCAAATTTGGGCATCAATAGCATACTCACTTCATAGAAAGATGGTTTAAATGGCTTTATAGATATATAACTCATACCCCTCAGAACTCACTCTTTTACCGCACACAGTTCTGTCTTAACAGCATACCTTTGCTTTCCTGATTACAACACTGATGGCAAGAATAAAGCTGCCAGATGCCAAATACCAAGGCTCTGAAAAACCCTTCTGAATAACAGCATGCAAATGGTAACTTAATCTGTAAACCTAACCAAAATAATGTAAAAACAAAAAGGATGAGACATAATCTTAACAATGTGTTCACAATCTATGTGATCGAAAATGCCCACTCACCTCCCGTACTTTGGAGTGCACCGGAGACCTCCTTGGAAGGTGGATGCCATGGAACATCAAGTCCTGGATGCAGTCATTTTCAATAGCCTGAAACACAAACGCAATGTAGTGCTCGGCACCTGTGTCCCTAGGTGGAAGGGCAGCACTGCAGCATGGAGTGGAGTCTGATCTTCCTGAAGCCCTGGGACTATTCTTCCCTGGAGCTTTCTGAAGGTTTATCCACACCCCTCACAGCTTCCTCCCTCCCCATGCACTGAGGAGAGTGCTCAGCAATCATGACACTGGAGGGTAGCTCACAGGGGAATTTGGGGATTGAGGGTGAGGTGAGTGCCTATGGGTGGGAGCCCCTCCAAGCCAGGAAGACCTGGACCTGTTCCAAAAGTGTGCCCAGAACTAAGAAGGAATTTCTCCTCCATGGAGGTGGGAACTCTGTTCTGACCAAAATCAGACCTCTTGAGGCTGCCACTGAGAAGGGTTCGGGCAGGAGAGGGTGTGCAAGCTCCATACAACCCACTGCACTGAAGGCACTCAGGAGAGGCCCAAATCCCACCACAGCCCTGTCTGCAACACACCCGGGCCTACAAGCTTCAGAGAAGGACTCAAGATGGCCTTGCTATCAGCATGGCCTCTTCTCAAGTAATGATGAAGACACTCCACTCCCTTCAGCATCACTAAGTGTGGACAGTGCACTGCTGGACTTATGATGGGACATGAGACAGGCCACACTCCCTGGGAACCTACAGGTATCACAAGGGCTGAACCCAAGCTAACCACCAGAAGACAGACACTCCTATACACCAATGGCTTAGATCCATAAAGGGAGCAATAGAGAGCAGCAAATGCCACATGATTTGGATCCTGATTCAAAGACTGAGAAAGACATCTTCAGATAGTAAAAGGTTTAAATATGATCTGATTATTTTTTAAATACCACAGATTTATTGCTAGCTTTTTAAGGTATTATAATGGTACTGCATAACCACATTTTTGAAGATGCACAATGAATTTCGTAGAAATGAAATAGCATGTCTGGAATTTGCACTAAAAACTTAAGGAGGGTGGGAAGAAGGAGAGGGAGGCTGAGAAGTGCACAATGTTGGTGCTAATTCTGTACATATCCAGTCAAATAATATGGTATTAATTACAACTCCTATTTTTTAAAACACTGCTGGAGAAAAGGGGGAGGGGACACTCCAAGGACAAATACTGCTTCCTAAGAACAGATTTTGTGTACTAATAAAACACCATAAAAAAATGCATAATGACATCCTGGCTTTGCCACTTTGCTCAACAAATTACACATTCTAAAAGTATTTTAAGCACTGTCTACAGGGGAATATAACAGATAATTTTTGTTTTCTAGAAGTGGAAGTCAGTGGTTAGCCCTGGCAGCAGAAACTAAACTTCAAGTGGGGAGAAACGAACTACAAAAGTGGCTCTGCCAGCTCATCCTGCCCCCACCTGCCACCATCACAGCCTGCTCCCCAGAGCAGCTCAACCAGGGTGCTTTCTCACTTACAGTAGAAATTCTACTCACATTTGAGAACCCTGAAGGAGAAAAATGAAAAACACTTAATTTTTGTCCAAATGAGTCTCTGAATGCTTAACTGGGGTTCTGAATGAGATTGCTCTATCTTCATAACATAATTATTGCACCTGCTAAAGGCTAAGGAACCATATTCAAAATGAAGGTCTCTAACTTCTCAAAACAATGTCACTGAAACAGGCACATAAGGTGCTGAAGAGCACCATCCACAGAAACAACAGGCCGCACGCACAGCTCTGCACTTTCTAGTGGGCACGTAAAGAAAAGAAAAGAAACAGGCAAAATGACTTAGTAACACACTTTGCCGTTATCTGAATAATGCACTTTATTTATATCTTGATATTTTTGTTTATATATTTGTTTTACATATGTATATATTTGTGTACAAATATGGTTTAGTTTTATTTATATTAAATTATATTTAATAATGTATTTTGTACATCCAAACCACTATCTTTTCAACATGTGATATTTATAAAAAGTGCTAATGAGATATATTCTTCATGCAGTTTTTGAAATCTGACATGTATCTTCCACATGCAGCCCATCTCAGCTCAGAATGGCCACCTTCTGGGAACCCACAGAGCAACCAAAATCGGGGTAAAATCTCTGTTTCTCTCCAGCTGCACCTCCCAGAGAGGGACACGGGACGAGACACAGGGAGAGTGCAGACTACCCATGCCTATAACACAGAGATTTGTCATTCGGCTTCCTTTTCATAGACAGCATGAACACAGGTTTTAAATAGACCTCACTTGACTATTTACTTAGTAACTAGAATACAATAAACATTTAATAAAATCAAAATACCTCTAATATTTTTCCCGAAGCCTTTTTCCAAGCTCTGAAATAAATTTCTGCAATGTGCACCATCAAAGATCTATTTAAAAGACATTAAAATGCTGTTAATGCAAGCTTAAAGAATTATACCCTTAGCACAAATTGTTTCAGTTACTCCCCTGTCCTAGGGAGGGAAGACTCAGGCTAGGCAAGGCCTTGCTTATTGTTCCTAGAGCTGCTACTTCCCTACAGTGGAAAGCAGGAGAAGGACTTGTGTGGGGAACGGAAGCCAAAGTGACAGGCACCTCCTGTGCCTCGGGACAGCCTTCCTCAGAATCTTCCCACTTTCAGAGAAACTGAGACACTAAGCCCACACCAAACTTGAAAGTCACAACTCTAAAGATTAAGTAAATGTTTAACTTGGACTCATTTTGGACAATTCAGGCTCTAATTCCTGACCCACAAGATGCCATATCAGAGTTGATATTAGAACCATAGAAATTTAGAAATTTATTACTAAACCTAAATAGTCTGCACACGAGGAAGTAAGAGAAAGCAATCTGAATCCGGTAGGAGCTTTGTAATCAAGAGACACAATACTTAAAGGGCTTCCTGACACTGGGAAATTCAGTAACCAAAGCCCATCTCAAAGGACTTGTTTAAAATGCAGACCATGTGCTCAGCACCAGCACAGGAGCAAATGAAAGCTGACTACTGCCTTTCAACAGGAGGCAGTGCTGGGGCCAGAAGGCTCTATGCTGGCTTCTCCCCATTCTTGCACTGCAGCCCTCTTTTCAGCAACCACACAACTCAGTCCGTATTCACCTGACAGGTGTAGCTCACATTCAAAATATTATCAGACCTAATGAAACAGGCTTGTGAGTGAGGCTAAAGTCTAATGGGCATGTAATCTAAACAACTATCACACATTAAAATTTTAATCTAAATGGTCACTACTAAAAGAGCATTTCCTATAAAAGGAAAATAAAAGCCAGGCATGGTGGCATACACCTGTAATCCCTGCACTCAGGAGCTGAGGCAGGAGGGTCACAAATTTGAAGACAGCCTGGGCTACACAGTGACATTAAATGGACTACACAGTGAGATCCTGTCTCAAAAATACCAAAAAAAAAAAAAACCCTCAAAAGAAAACTACCCAGTGATACAAGAGTATATAATAATAATAATAAATAATTTTTAAAGTTTTCAATACATTAACTCCTAAAAGTCAGATCACTCTTTCAAAGTCAGATTAAGATAGCACAAACTTTTAAAATACTTACTTTTGTAATCCTTGTAACTGGTTTTTAATGGTTCCATGAATCATTTTAATAAAGTTTATATTCCAATTGAAGAGAGAACTAAGAAATCTTCTTCCCTATAAATACAAAAATAAGATAAAAACTGCACCTAAATAGAAAGTTCCCATTAACAAACATGTATTTTTGACTATTTAATACTATTAAAAGTAGCCATTTCTAAACAGAAAGCACATGTGGTTCTAACTTGGAATGGATGCTGGCAGCTGTCTGCAGAATCTGCTCCTGGGGGTACAGGGTGCCCTGCTCCACCTCCCACTGAGTGGCTACACTGGGCACCTCTGCCCTTGCAGACATCAGACACAGCATAGATCCATAGGCATTTTGTGCTGGCTCTGTCACCGACAGCTAATCTAAAACCAGAGAATGCCTGAAATCTAGCATTCAGAAGTGGGAACTGAATTAACAGTTCATTTTCCTTTGATAAATAAAAAACTGAGACTCATTTTGTTAAGAGGTTGTTTGCCAGGCAAGAATTTTCAAATACAAAGAGCCTTCAGTTCATAAGTGGCATTAATTGTATCATGTAATAATTTACGTGGATGCTACTGGATTATATATGTGAATCTAAAAGAAAGAATATGATATTCACACTCTGGAGAGCGCATCAACTCCATTGGCCACAAACCTACAGTGACAGCACCTCATGTCCCCACTGCTCTCCAGCATCTACTGCAGGCTCTGTGCCCCAAAGAAATGCAGCACAATGCAATGACTCCAATGCAGCAAAGATGGCTGTGACAGTAGCATCCCCTGGCAGGAACTTGCCAGTAGAGTACAGGATGTTCGTGGTGCATCCAAAATGACTAGCAAGTGGCCTGACCTAATTAATGTCTGGTTGGGAAACTGAGTGTAGACACCTTAAACTCAAATGAGCCCCTCAATCTATTTATTTATTTTTTTGGTACCAGGGATAGAACTCGGGACCTTGTGCTTGTGAGGCAGGCGGTGGAACCACAGAACTACATCCCCAGCCCTTACACCAATTTTTTTAAAAAGGAAGTTTTAACACACACAGGATAAACAGTACAACTCATCACTGCCTGTAAGTCAGCATAAAAGATTTATTTGTCTGACTCCCATCAATTTCTTTCCTCATAAGGCTGGAGATGCTGGAGGCACAAGCCAGTGTCTGTAATCTTTCCAACAATGGTGACAACAGCAGTGACCTCCCTGTGCTTCTCACACACCAGCAACTGTGGGTGGATTCACTCGCCTGCCTCACCTGCTCCTCGCAGGGTGCTATGGAAGACTGACTGCTGTTCCTAGGTTCAGGATGAAAACTGGCTCATACAGCCCACCTGTTACCTTCTGATTTCACGAAGAAATAGACAAGGACCTGTGACATGTCTGCATCAACCCTATCATGCTATAGAAATGATGTGCAATAAACACATGCCACTCAGTGGCCATGCTGGCTCTTCTATAAAAACACTAAGAACAGTGTAAATAGCATTGTTAAGATGCGGTTCACAGTCAGGCCTGGGTACAGGTGCACACTTACAAATCCCAGCTATTCAGAGGCTGAGGCAGGAGGATTACATTTATTAAATAAAATGTGCCAGGAATGTAGCTCAGTGGAACCCAGGTTCAATCACCAGTACTTTAAAAAAAAAAAAAAAGTAGCTCACAAACAGACCAAAAGAGAAAAACCCATTACCTCTTCTTTCCTGATGTAACTAACATTTATGAAGCACTCAAGCAGCATATCTTTAATTTCTCTACTCTCCTCTGAGTCATAATCAAAGCAATATAAAGCCTGATGTACACGCCAGAGCCGACACACATCTGCACCCTAGGAATAACACAGCAAAGAAGAACGTTACCCTCAGCACTTAAGGGTTTTTTTTTTCCGGTACCAAGGACTGAACTCAGGACCTTGCACTTTCGAGGCAGGCATGGCATCACTGAGCTAAATCCCCAGCCCTACTTAGGGTTTAAAAATAAATAAATAAATAGTAAGGTCTATTTCAAATTATGTATATTTTATTTCTATAATAATTGTAGATGAATCATCGAAGTAGGAAATAGTGACAAGTGAAATGATTTTAAAATTCACAAATGCTACTGTAGCTTTAGAGAGCATTTTTTTAAACACAGCCGTCTGAACTCTGGCCCTGTTCAGTACAACCTCTGCCAAGACAAGACACCCTTCCTCTGTCTGTGCAGGAGACACCAGGCACTTCTGGCTCCTGAGCTCCTGAACTGTGACTACTGCAACCAAGAACCCAAATTTTTCTATTTTTTAACATTAAATGAAATGGTTACATGTGGCTAGGGGTTACTGTACTGAACAGCACAGGTTTAGAATATTAGGAAAACATTAAAAATGGAGTTTTGATTTAAAAGCAGAACAATATTGACAGGGAAAATGAATTTTAAAAAGACAAATCAATGATGGCATGAAAATAATTCTGATACAAACAAGGGTTTCTCAGTCACTGTCCTTGGCAGCAGGGAGAATCAGAGAGCTGGCCAAGAAGCAGCCAGACAGGGCTTCATGTCCTAACAGTGGCTGCTCCTGGGCGAGGGTATGAGATCCTCAGACACAGTGGCAGGAATGTGAGGGAGTACCAGCTTTCTAGGGAGCTGCTGGCAATCTGTGTCAAGTCTTCACGTACCTCCTTAAGGAAGGGGAAGTCCCGAGTGGAAAGGTCAAAAAGAAATAACCTTCAGTGTCCTAAAATAAGGGTCACTTTTGATGGTGGAATTACGGATCATTTTTATTTTCATTTGTCCACCTTTCTAAGATTAACACATGAATTACAGCTTGATCAGGGAAACCGGTGTTCTTTGTCTAGATTTTTGAACGATTTACTGAAGACTAAAGTTTGAGGAATCTTCAAAGGTGCCCTCTGCAGCCCGGCCACAACTTCCTTGGGACTGCACTGTGATGTGACATGATCCCCATCACAGTCATCATCACACCTACATCCATCCTGAGGCTCCCTGTGTGGAGGGCCTGCCTCTCAAGGACCCCAAAGACCCAGTAGACCCCACCTTGCCCTTTCCCTCTCTGCTCCTCCAGCACACAGAGGTGCTCAGGGCTGAGAAAGGCTGACTCTCCCTGCTCCCCTGCTTTCTCTTCCTGCCTTAGCTCCTATGACAGGGTAGAGGGGGAACAGCTGTGCTGCCCCTGGAAAGTGACAGAAGGACAGAAACTACCCTGAGAAAGGAGAAGGGAAAAGCCAAGTTTTCTATCTCAGTGTGGAGCTGCCACAGCCACCCTGACCTCTCCACAGCCAACAGTTGACAGTACTCACCTAACCCAAGAAGCTACCTTGGCCCGGGCCCTCCTAGCCAAACAATCCAAATTTTTAAACAAAGAAAGTGAACGCACAGCTTTGGTTTCCAGACTCCTCCTCAGCAGCATGACAAAAGCCGTCTTCCCCATGTCTTCCTTGGCAGGCAGGCCCTTCTCCCACCACCTGACGCACAGGGCTTGGATGGAGCTCCGAAGGCTCCTCTCAGATTCCGGCAGCGCATACAGAATGCCTACAATGGAGCACAGCCTTCTTCATTAGATCCAACAGTGCACAGCCCCATGACTACACACTGCAGAGCATGGTAAGCAGATACTCGTCAGGTTTAATGTGCCAAAGACTTATATACATTATTTATAGAACACAATGTTTAATAAAATAAACTGATTTATTACCATTGTAAAAACAGACAAAAGAGAACACAGCACTTCAGACCTGGACATCAGAAAAACCATACTGCCCAAACCACAACATCCACTGCTACCCTGCCTACACAGAGCCAGGTCAGGTCCACTGAACACCAGTCTGCTACACCCTCCCTCAGTGTTTCTGGACTCAAGTTTGGCTCAGAGGTGAAAAGCAGCAAAAATAACTATCATAATGAATATAAAATCTCAGCGTTTTGCTACACACAGTTGTATATGCCTGTAACGCCACCACTGAGGGAGACTGAGGCAGGAGGATCTCAAGTTCAAGTCTCATCTGGGCAACTTAGTGAGACTCTGTCTCAAAAAACCCCACAAAATCACAGAGTTTTCGTAAACAGAAAATGAAGAATGAATGGTAATAATGTGCTCACAATTATCTGCAAATATCTGAATGTCATTATATGAACACAGAACCCCTAAGCTAAATGGGAATGTGGTAGCAACCACAATGTTAGCTCTAATCATCTTATCAAACAAGTATTTGGAGAATGCAAATAAACTGGTCATATAATTCACAAAGTACTTGGGAACTATTTATCTTGATTAGGGGTAACTTTTTAGTAAGAGACTCTATTTCAAGAATTCAGACTAGGGGCCGGGGATTTAGCTCAGTGGTTCCGCTGGCTGCCTTGCAAGCGGAAGGATCCGAGTTCGATCCCCAGTACCAAAAAAAAAAAAAGAATTCAGACTAAAATAACATACTGAAGAGATACATAAATCTAAGTGACACCAAGAATAAAGTTTACAGAGCTGCCAGCATGGTTGTATACGTCTATAATCCCAGGACTCTGGGAGGCTGAGCCAAGAGGATCACCAATTCAAGCCCAACCTGGGCAATTTAGCAATGGAGACCCAGTCTCAAAATAAAAAATTAGGCTGGGCATAGTAGCACTTGCCTGTGCTACTTCCCCAACACTTGGAGGGCTGGGGCAGGAGGATTGCTGGGAGTTCAAGGCCACCCTAAACTACATAATGAGACCAAACCCCCCCAAAACTGAAAAAACCCAAAATAAATAAATAAAACTTTTTAAAAAATAAATTTTTTAAAATGCTTGATGGCCAGGTGTGGTGGTGCACACCTATAATCCTAGCACTTGGGAGGCTGAGGGAGGAGGATTGCTGCAAAATCAAAGACAGCCTGGGCTACAAAGTGAGTTCAAGGCCAGTCTGAACTACATAGTGAGACTGTCTAAAAAAACCAAAAAAAAAAAAAAAAAAGTTTGATGATGTAGCTCAGTGCAAAGGCCCTGGGTTCAATCTCTAGTATCAGAAGGAAAAGAAAAACTTAATGAGAGAATTTGTGCCATGAAGGCTACGGGTACTTGGAGAAAATTCTTAAAAATCATTCCTTAAAGCCAGGGATCTAAGGGCCAGGGATTTAGCTCATGGTTCCACTGCCTGCCTTGCAAGTGCAAGGTCCCGAGTTTGGTCCCCGGTACCAAACAAAAAAAAAAAAAAGCTGGGGATTTAGCTCAGTGGTGCCACGCCTACCTGGCAAGTGCAAGGTCCTGAGTTTGATCCCCAGTACTGGGGAAAATAAAAATCATTCCTTAAAATAAAATTGCTTTTATACCTTTTATATCTGTAAAATAACTTCATGTAAATATTTTATAATCAGACCTTTCATTAATTCAGACTTCTACTTCCCCTAACTATAGCTTCACTGCCCAGTGAAAACAAGATAATAAAAGCCGAGCATGGTGGCACAGCCACCCCCAAAATCCCAGCACTCAGGAGGCTGGGCAGGAGTGCCATGAGTTCAAGGTCAGCCTGGGCTCCACAGTGAGTTCAAGGCCAACCTGGACTACACAGTGAGGCCCTGTCTCAAAACCTGACAAGTACCATGGGGATCACTAATTATTCCTCACATCAGGTTCATAAGTATTAAAAAGAACAATGTCACAAATTCTCAGTTAAACTGACACTATCTGTTATAACACAAGCTGGGAAACTGACAATCAGATATTGTCCTTCAAGCCAGCTCTTGGTCATTGTCCTTTAAGTGAAGAACCTGGAAATAGCAGTTGGTGCTCAGAGCTGCACGTCTTCCCCACTGTGAACACTGAGTTGGAGTGGGAATTCACTGTGTTGTCCAGGATGCCCTTAACCTGGGCTATTTCTCCAGCTGGAGTTTCAGAGCCTGAGAGCAGAGCTGTGCCTTACACCACTTCTGTGCCTACCCTAGGGTCACTTGTGACAGTAGATCTCCTTTTCAGGCCCCCCACTGCTACATGTGCACCAACAACAAAGCCACTCACCATTCAGTATGACAGCACATTCCAGGAGGGCCTCATAGTTCTCACTTTCATTTATTACAGAGATAGAAGCCAGAATCACAGATGTAATTGCATGAATTATTTCTATGTTTTTTTTCTATAAATGGAAAAGCATGAGTGAATTAAAATCGCCAACTTAAAACTCAACTTTTAAAAGAAATTGAAAAGTTACTAAATTTCTAAACTCAAACCACTTCTAGCTTATTCTAAAAGTAAATTAAAGTTGAATAAAGTTTGTCCTAAAAGAAGAGCAACAGCAAGTACTAGATTAACAATTGTAAGGCTGGAAAGTATGTAAAACTGCAATAAACAGAACATCTAAAATTCTTTGCTTCTAACTTCAAAACTTTTCTTAACTTAAAACTTAATTATATACAATAAAAAACTTTTTTAACACGGAAAAGGGAAAATTTTTTATTTCTGAAAGACAAATACCATCTTTGGACCTTGCTCCGTTTCCATATTATCTTCAGCCTGGACTTCTACTATCTCCCACCCATCCACTGGGCTTTCTAGCAACATTTCTGTTAATAAATTCTTCAGTCTTTGCCATAATTCTTCTTTTTGTTTCCTTGACAATTCATCTAATAACTCATTCAGACTGAAAGGATCAGAGGCATCTTTCTGCAAAATAAATACAAAAAATTAGGTGCATCCTTGACAGAATGACATCAAAATAAAAAATGAAGTGTTGGGGCTGGGGATTTAGCTCAGTGGTTCCACCGCCTGCCTCGCAAGTGCAAGGTCCCGAGTTCAAGCCCCGGTACAAAAAAAAAAAAGAAGTGTCAACTTAGTTATAAGTTCAAGAGTTATGTTGCAGTTTTCAAAATCTATTCATAAAATTGAAAAAGTACAGGGCTTATCATATAGAAAGTAAGAGTTTAAAACTGACTCCAGGATTGCAATGAAGGACAAAGACTATGTGGCAAGTGGTATCCCTGGTAAATCTGAGCGTCTTGTACTCTTCTTGCACCTGTTCTTTAACTCTGCAATTATTTCAATAGGAGAGAGAAAAGGGGAGGGGGAAGAAATGGGAGCCGCTGGACCAAATCCCTCAACATCCAGCACAATGTTCTTCGTCCCCCTGCTCCACCTGGGAAAGGTTAGCCTGCCAGGGGCATGTGGTCAGGCCCTTTCTCCTTCTGCCTACCTTATCATTTCCTTACTGGCGGAAATTAGATGCCACCTCACAGCTGCACTGGCTGTTCTTGCCAAGGCCCATGACAGCCAGTGACCACTTCTTGGTCCTCATTTTGCTGTTCCTGCCATACTCCTGACAGCCCCTCTCAGCTCACCTCCCACCTGGCCACTTCTACTCACCCTCCTCCTGCCTCGTGGTGCCTTGCCTCAGCATCCTGCCTCCCCACATTCCCTAGTCGGACCTCTGTATAAGAGTCCGACAGACCCCTGTGAAGTTCAGTGATGCACCCAGCACTCCTGTCCTTTTTCCCGCTTTATTATTTACATACTTGTCTGTTTTTCTCCCTCTACATTGGAACTGTGACTGTATTGTGTATTCTCTGTACCCTCAACTCTCCAAGCAGTACTTGTACCCCAAAGGTGTATGAAATGTTTGTCAAAGGACTGAGCCTTCCTCAGTGCTGTAATCTCCTGTCACTGCCTCTCCACAGGGGATCAGGCACACCATATAGCCAGTTCTGCTCTATAACACTTGTTTGGAAACAGTTTGTTCCAATGCTGTAAATTCATTAGGAAACAATATGAGCATAAGGCAAATTTCACTTTTGCTTCTGTGGGGCCACCAGGGCCACCCAAATTCACTGTACTCCTGGCAGCTCAGCCCATCCATAACTAGGCCACTCACTGCTACCACAGCTGTTGCCCCCAGAGACCCCAGCAGCCCCATGTTTCCCTCAGCTTTAGTTTTCTCTTCCCTTTCTGTTCTCTCTTCTTCCTCTCTCACACAGGGAGGACAGGTACATCATACAAACACATACTCACTTCTATTCACACACTTCCATCTCCAGCGCAGACTTCTTCCTTGGCCCTCAAACACACCTAACATCTGCTTACTGGCTACAGCCTTGGGCATGTCTCAATGGGAGTCATCCAGCACCCCCAAAACTAAACCACTTTCTCCTTTCAATCTGGGCTCTTTCTAGACCCAGTCCCTGGTATCACTCAATCAAACAGTGCCACCACTTCTCCAGAGATCTTCTGCTCCAGCCCACATCCAACCACGCCTGAAGAGCTCACCCCAACTACAACTACTGCCCAGCAGCTTGTGGTCCCTTTACACTGTTCTTCATGGGCATCCTCATCACCTCCCTTCTGCCCTAGTTTTCTCTCCACTCTTTGGTTCCCCTCCTCCTTGGATGCAGGGCACTCCCTATGGACCCCCATCCCCCACCCCACTGCCCTCAGGACAAAGGGTGAATTCCTTAAAAAGGCACAGAGGGCTCCCTTTTCACCTGGTCCACACTCAGGCCCTGCAGAACCTCTTCAGGTTCAAACATAACATCCCTTCTCCTGGCCAGGGTCCCCTCAGCTACTTGGTCCTCTGATTCACTTCTGTTTACCTTCCACATCTCAGCTCAACCCACCTGCAGGTCTAATTGAGTTTACAGAAGTTTTGTTGTCTTTTTAAAAAAATAAACATGGGTCCCTATGGTTTCACTAAAATAACTGCATTTCATTTGGGGCATGATGATTTTAGAACATGACTTTATATTAACCATCAAAGTCAAACATAAAACTTACATCAAGTTGAACAAATTGCAAAAACTCTCCAACCAGCTCCTTAGACACTGCCTGTACAAATGCCTCCCGTTTTTCCATGACAGATGAAACTGTTCAAATGGCATTTGGCTTTTAAACCTAGTGGAAAAACACAATTATACTGGAGCTTACACTTGCAAATATATCTTTTTCTGCAGATTTTACTTGGTAGAACATCAAAGAACTGAGAAAATCTTGTACCACCTATGGTGAAGTGTTCCTAACAATATTCTGATACATAATAAATTATAATAATCTAAAAAATAATTTCATTATTGAGGATATTATCAACATAATACCAATAATATAACATCAATTGTTAATATAAATACCAACTAAGGAAAGAAAAATCCAAATGGCCCCAGGAAGCTCACCTTCTATCCTTCTTCAGTATCTTAGCTAGATGCTGGCACAGGCAGATCTGAGTTAATTCCACAGGAAAACAGGCTGATCCCCTTCCCAGTGGCGGAATTCTAAAACTCTCCCTTGCTACAGGGTCTTTTCTCTTAGAAGATCTCACCTTAAAGTCCTCTTGTTATTCAACCTTGTTATTCAAAGTAAGGAACAGACAGAGGCCGTGGGGTCACCAGGGAGCTTGTTAGCTTGTGCAGAAGGTTTGCTCAACTTCAAAACCCTTTCCACCCCTGCAGAATAATGAGTGCTCAGGGACCGTGTACACCCTCCTTCTAGCCAGAATTCCCTCAGGAAATACTGCTTTACACTTAGACCACCTGATGCTAGTCTTGGCTTACTCAAAAGACATCAACCCAAACACACAGTAATAGCAAATGAGGGAACATATTTGCAACAGGACTTCCTCAATCTGAAAATAAAAACTGTCCCATTAAGCTGGGTGTGATGGTGAATGCCTGTTATCCCAGCACCCTGGAGGCTGAGGCAGGAGGATCACTGCAAGTTTGAGGCCAACCTGGGCTATGTAGTGAGTTCAAGGCTGGCCTGCACTACAAAGTGAGACCCTGTCTCAAAAAATCAAATAAATAAGGGGCGGGGATTTAGCTCAGTGGTTCTGCCACCTGCCTCAAAAGCGCAAGGTCCCGAGTCCAATCCTCAGTAGCAAAAAAACCCAACAAAACAAAACAAAACAAAAAACCAGATAAATAAGTAAAGCTTTATGGAGAATTATTGACAGTAATTTTGGAGATAGGGAATCATCTTAAACATACAGACCTAGACTTTAATTTCTAAATTGAACAAACAAAAGTAGAATAAACCGATGACTCTCATAAGTAAGCCTGAAGCACAGTTCCATCATTCCTCAACTCAGACGGCTAAACTAAGAAATATATACCCTGCTCACCGCGAAAAAGGGAAGTGAGAATGGACAGCAAGTGCGGAATAGTGGCTAGTACCAATTTCTGGCTTTAGAAAAATAAAGGCTAGTTCAATAAGGTACAACAAGCCCATGGAGTCACACACTGGCAAGCCTGTGGCGTGCCCCCTTCCCTAACTCTGGTCACTTTTCTTGTTACAGGTTCCCAAGAGCACACCTTTGGCATCTTAGTTGAGCACATACTAATCTGCTTCTGTTTTACTAACAAACTTCTACCATACTTCTGATTTCTCTCTGACACGTGAGCACAGTTTTTAAGGGTTAACTTTTCCACATACGCTCAGTGTATCTCTCAAAGCGGTAACACTACAAGTCTCGAATCTTCTTAGCAAACCCCTTGCCATTCCAGCCAGAGTGCTACACCCAGAAGAGTGGGCATCTCACCATCCGTTTATCCATTCACATGGCACTGTGCTCCTCACATGGGATTAGGAGGCTCTTACAGGAGACTCTTGTCACTTTCTCATCACCTGTGAGTCCCCAGGGTCAGGACCATCCTCACAGACAAACCAGAGGCGGGTCAGTTACCGGTTCCGCGCCAGGCTCCAGTCCGTGTCCGTCCCGGGTCCCGCACCGGGCTGCTGTCAGTCCCAGGTCCTACCTACCCTGGGCTCCTGTCTGTGTCAATCCAGGGTCTGGGGCCAGGGTCCGGTCCAGGTCAGGCCCAGGTTCGAGTCCGTGGTCTTGTCCTAGTCCCTCCTGGGTCCCAACCTGGGCTCCTGTCTGTCAGTCCCGGGTCAGTCCCGGGTTCAAGCCTAGGGTCCTGTCCGGGTCAGTCCTGGGTTCGGGGCCGGGGTCCTGTCCTAGTCCCTCCCGGGACTCCCACCCAGGGCTCCTGTCCAGGCCAGTTCCTGGTTTCAGGCTGGGGTCCAGTCTGTGTGAGTTCCGAGGCTGGGCTCCTGTCCTAGTCCTTCCTGGGTCCCGGATCTGGTCTCCCGCTTCAATTCGCCCACCGCGACCCGTCCTGTCAGGGTCCCTGGGATCAGATGGTGGCCCCAGAGGAGAGGCCCCATCGTTGCAGGCGCGTCTTTCCCGCCTCACTGCCGCGTTCCGGGGCCGAAAGGAACCCACCTGGCTCGCCCTCGGCGCTCACCTCCTCCAGGACCCGCGGCTTCCCGCGCTCGGACCAGATTCAAACACACCCGCCCGCGCCCGCAACGCGACCGCCCTCCCGCGCGTCAGCCACCTCCGCTCTCGCGAGAGCTGGGGCTATGCTCTTCACTCCGCCCACACGCCCACCCACGCCTCGCCTCTGAGCACCAAGCCCCGCCCTGGGCGTGGTCTCGAGGCCCCAGCTCCGTCTCTGCCGCTGGCGTCCTTCCGGGCTGCGCGGGCACTGACGTCACCGCACTCGTGCGCGTCCCCTCCCTTCGGTGGAGTGTGGAGAGGAGGGGAAGAGGAGAAAGGGGCTGGAGCGAGCCAGGGAAGGTAGAGGAAGGAAGGGGAGGAGGCATCGTGGGGAGGCGGGGAGGGAAGGAAGAAGAAAAGGCGCGAACAGGAGGAAGGCGCTGTAGCGGGAGGAACAGCCCGGAGGAGGCGGGCAGGCAGGGAGGCAGGGAGGGAGGAAAGGCCGAAGCGCCGCAGCTTGGATGCCCCGGGCAGAGGGCGGTCTCTCCGTTCCTCGCAGTATTTTACTTCAATGCACAAAATCATTCTGCGCTGTCATCGGTTTTTCTTAATTTTTGCCAACAAGTAACTTGGGCTTTCCCGGGTTTTGTTGAAAGCAAAGTCTTAGAAACCTGGTCACTTAGAATCCTTCACTTCCTCGAAAGTTTAAGAAACCTCTGGGCCAGGGGTTTGGTTCAGTGGTTCTGCCTCCTGCCTTGCAACCCGAGTTCCATCCCCAGTATCAAAAAGAAAACAAGAATAAGAAATCTCTCCCTCGATACAGCTGTGATGTTTGGTATTCCGTTTGAAAGTTTGTGTGATAATACAGCATTTTAAAAGCTTTTGTTAGATTTGGGTATTTTTGTCAAACCTTGGATAGGTGATATAAACGGATTAAAGTCCGCTAATGGAAAATGTTCTGAACTATCTGGTTGCTGTGTGAGACCTCGCTATCAAGCCCAATCATAGTAACTGTCAAAAGGTCTGAAGGAATATGAACTGTTGACCAAACGATGCACCGCCCTGGTTTTGTCCCGTGACAGCGCTGGCAGGAGGGGCCTCGGGGGACGGGCCTGAGGGCGCCCCCTCCTGGGCGTGGCCGCTCTAACAGGTCTCGGAGGGGTGACTGCCCCCACCAGGTGAGGACCAGTGTCAGGTGCTTCTGGAAGCAGACAAGGAGCCCGCCTGGTCCTTCATCCTAAACCCCAGACTCACAGATGGCAGATAGTAAACACCTAGTCTGAGGAATTTGTTACAGCACAGAACAGACGGACACTGCATCCTCTAAGACGCCCGGCCCCCAGGTGAAGGTCGCATCTTCCGGCTAGTCCAATCGTCCCAGCACCCAGGACTAAGAAAGACTGGCAGCCTGACTGAGCTCCAAACCCTCACCCTTCCTGGGCTGTGTCCTTTACCCTGACCCTACCTCACCAGCCCCCGCCACACACATCCCAGTCCCCAGCTGCCCCCCCCCCTTCTCCCAGCAAACCAATACAAAGCAGGCACTCATCTGTGTTCTCTAAACCATTGATGTGGCTAGTGAGGAAGATTTGCAGAGTTAAAATTGGACCCCACGGCAAGGAACTATAAAGCTAACACTAGAAGGGCATAAAAGTTGACTAAAATAACTGTTGAGAGTGACATGAATATCTTTGATAATGGGCTAAGAGTGAAGTTCACAACTTTTTAGAATTTTTTTCGGTACTAGGGATGGAACCCAAGGCCTCATACTGAGCTCATGCCTAGCCCCACACCCATCCCCTTTGTATCTGAAACGGGGTCTTGCTAAGTTGCTGAATTGCCCAGGCTGAGCTTGAACTTTTGATCCTCCTGCCTCAGCCTTTCAGAGTGCTGGGATTATAGGGGTGCACCACTGTGCCCAGTTGGAAGTTTATTTTGAACCACATCATAACAATCGCATGGTTGAAATCCAAGTGATACGAAGAAGTTCCTAGCAGTCTCCTGAAACCTGATTCCTGGACACCCAGCTCTCCTCTCCAAAGGAGACCAAGGATTATCACTTCTCAAAAATCTTTCCAGAAATGTTTTCCACCTAAATAAGAAAAAACAAACTTTATAATTTAATCATGATTCTTGCAGCTGGGGGAGCAAGCTAAGGAACATATTCCGGACAGAGCTTTAGAGTGCAGAATCTGCTGTTCCCTGGGGAACCCAGGGCTGCACAGCCCAGCCCAGCCCAGCATGAGTCACTGATTCCAAGGAAGGCGCAAAGTGCAGGGCTGATCAGGAGCCATTTGCATGAATATTTCTTTCTTTTTTGTGGTTTTATACAGCTCTGTCTGTAAAAACAAAAAAATTTTTTTAGTTTTAGTTTTGTTTTTAAGCAAAACATTTATTGGTACATTTTAGATATACATAATGATAACACTCATCATAGAGAATTTGCACCTGTACATGACTTATCCTGCCTCTTCTTTTATTCTTATCCCCCCTCTCCCCTCAAACTCCCCTCCTCTCCTTATGTGCAAAAGCTTTGTTTCCATTTTTTCCTTCTATTTTGTTTTTTGGGTTTTCTTGGTACCGGAATCAAACTCAGGTCTTCACGCTTGAGGGGCAAGCAGAAGAACCACTGAGCTAAATCCCTGGCCCTTTTCCTTCCATTTTTACTTTGTAAAAGGAAATTTGAAATTGGAAAATGTGGGTGTGGAAGGTTGATCCCTAAAGTACAAGAATTTAAAAAATGGGTGAAAATAATCAAAGTCTGCTATATATATATCAGTGCCAAAATAAAACCTATTATTCTGCATAAGAAATGTGCACTAGTAAAATTTTAAGAGAAGTAACAATAAGCTTGAGGCCCATGGCCCCCTGCAGTTGGGCCAGTGGCTCTGCTGGTCTCCTAATCAGGGAGGCCCTGAGGAAGGTGCAGAGATGAAACGGCATCCCAGACCTGGGTGCCCACTGACACCTGGGTAGTGAGGTTCAGACCCCCTAGTGGCCAGAGCAGATCCCTTGGGCTGCGAGGTTGAATCCCTCTTTATTCCTGAGCACTCTTAAAAAGAATTTGAAGGAAGAAAGTGATGTAGAGAAGTAAACTACCCATGTCTAGGACCCTTTGGGGTCCTGGGTGTGGGTGTGGGTCACCATGGCAGAGCTAAGGCAGTGCTTTGAACTCAGGGGTCTCCTCAGTGGACAACCACAAGCAGAACTGGACAGTCAGCCATGGAGCACACAGATTGGGCTGCTTACAAAAATACTGAACCCAGATTTTTCTCCTGACCTATTAAATCTGACTGGGATACAGCTGGGCATTTGCATATTTCTACCTCCCTATGCTGCATGCTAGAAGATAATGCAAGAAGATAAGCAAGCTGGATGTGCTGAGAGATGCCTGTAATCCCAGCACTGGGAAGGTTGAGGAAGGGGGATTCCTGCGAGTTTGAGGCCAGCCTGGGCGACAAAATGAGTTCAAGACCAGCCTCAATTACAGAGTGAGACCCTGTCTCAAAAAAAAAAAAAAAAGTATATGTAGCTGAGCCCAGGTCCCAAGCCCCACATTGGTTGTCCACTGTAACCAACCCTGTGTACTGAGCTCTACGTTGAGGTGCCACCTGTAGCTGACCCAGTCAGAGTCCTTGTCCTGGGACCTACACTCGCTACTTTGTTCTCCCTGACCCAGGCGTCAGCGAGGGTGAATGACAAGGAGATACAGAATCAATTTAACCTGCAGGCAGCCAGGAAGCTCTCAATTCTTAGTAGCCAGAGGAGCACCTCGTGTCTGGCTCATCTTGCATTTATTCACCCAAACACAGGTATAAGCAATCAAAGTAACAAGATTCATCTGGTTTCCAATATGCATTACATACTCTGGTAAACAATTTAACCTCAGCTGGAAGGACAGAGAAAGGAGAGTGACTGCTAATGATTGTGGGTTTGGGATGATGAAACTTATCTATAATTGATGAGGATTGTACAATCTGAGTATACCAAAAACCACTCAGGTATATACTTTTTCCTGTGTATGTGTGTGCCACTGGGGGTTTAATCTGGAGCCTTCTGAGTTACATCTCCATCCCCCCCTTTTTTTTTGTTAAATTCTTTTATTGGTACATTTTAGGTATACAACAACACAATTACATTTCTCAATGGGAATTGTACCTTTACATAATGCATCTTGGTTCTTATTTTTTCCCCATTCCTAGCCCTCCCTTCACCCCCT